GCACTCCGAACGGCTATATAAGTCCTTTTACACACGTTGATATATTCCTAGTCATGGGTTTGCCCCGCCTATAACGGACCCGCTGGTGTTTAGAAGAGAATAGATCCCCATAACAGTTCCAACCTAATCTCATTCCGACAGCCCACATGCTCATTGGACCCTTGTCCTACGACGCACATTAAAGCTCTTTCAATGAGGGAGTGAGGCCCTCGCTGTGCTCCATCGACAGTCTGACTGCCAGTTTGGACGGAAGGTATCTACAGTAAACCCAACTCCGCAATGCAGCCACTGAAGGGCGGCAGTGAACTTGAACGCTGAACCGGAAGCTCACAAACATCATTGTTGGGCATGACCTAACTGATACCCTCACCGATATTATAGACAACCAAATGCTCCGCAACAAGGATCCTCGATTTGGCCCGCAGCAATGAGCTCAGAATGTTGCAAAAACTGTTGAGAAAAGCCAGGACACATTTTCGAATACGCACAGTGCCCCAGCTTGCGCGTCCAGACTGATTAGAACGCACTTTCGTATCATACATTGAAGCCAGGTCGAACCGAGGTAACTGTACGCTACCTGGGCCACCCTAAACCTAGACCTAAACAAAGCACTGTCAGAGCTTTGTCCTGCCTAGAGAATCTTAGAAATGCCTCTCACACCCAGCAAAATCCTGTGCTGAGTTCTCCGACACGCCATCCTCGCCCCCGGTGCTGTCGTCGCCACGACGCGCAGCCGCCTCGGCAACAGGTGCTTGAGGGACTAGCTTTGCCTAAGGTTTAGGGCTTCAGTTTTTGGGGTCTACGGTGTCGAGGGTGTCTGGTTTTAGGACTGGGCTTTCAAAGGCCTATGGACATCCCCAGCTCCAAACACCTCATATCCCTACGCAGCCACTGCATTCACGTCAGAAGCCGGTGGACAGCCTTGCTTGACCATCATCCCGCAGCTTTGAAGGCAGCATTTCATGATAAAGGACGCTTCCCACAGGTATCACACAGGAGAGAGAGATGCATGGGGATAGGCGGAGAGAGAGAGAGGGGGGGAGAGAGAGAGAGAGAGAGAGGAGAAAAAGAGAGTCAAGGGCTGAACGGGGAGAGAGAGATGGAGGAGACAGAGACAAAGCGTCAGGCTGAACCTGGCATACAGCTCGGATATGGAATAACTCGAGCCCGTCTGGCGAGATCCCTACCATCAACATCTAATTTTGCCTCCAACCAGACAAAGCAGGTATGCGACGGGCAAGCCAGCACACCCCTTTTCTCTGCTGAAAGCGATCGCTGCCCAGGGAATTGGGACTTATGCAAACTTATGTCCACAGTGTGGAACCGCAGGTCTACTTGTTTGTGCCTGCGAAAACAGTGATCGTGATTGGCTACTTCAGGTTGACTGTAGGACCGGCGAAGCTCAATTCCTTCTGCCCTCTTGTAGCAGCATAATACATATACATATATGTACATATACATATGCATATATATATATATGCCCGCATTAGCGTATGGGGATCAAGAGGAAGTAGCAGTGTGGGCGTCTCAAATGCCAAATTTCACGTTCTTTCTGTTTGCACATAAATGTGACGCTAGGCAGAGAGGAGCTCAGCATCTTCTGGCCGGATATCGAGGCCGTTACCTGCCAGAAGGGCTTCAAACAACTGTTGGGGTTTGGGGTTGGTGGGGTATAGTATAGGCCTGAGGTTCAGCAAATACAGGATCCTAATTTTGAAGTCGGGCATAGAGTGCAATGCTTTGTAAGGGTTCTGTATACGGGACCTATCAGCTCCTGAGGCATTGCCGACTGCAAAGCTTTGCTCAAGGACTCAGGCTTCTTAATTGGGATTAGGGCGTCACGTGTTGGGTGTAGCCTGAATACTGGGCATGGCTGCAAGTCTAGAGCTGAGGGATTTAAAATTTGGCCTCATCCAGGTCAAATGGACTAAATTGCTCGAGTAATGCGAGTCGTCAGAATTGGGAACAGGAAGCAAAGCGTCTGAAGGGACCAGGGTCTAGCCAGCCAATTTTGTTCATTCCTGTTGAGTCTGTGAAGAGATAAGGTGCCTGGCAATTTCCTATGAAATTCTACTTGTGGGACTGATCTCTGATTGCGCATGCCTACAGTTGTTGTGATGCGAGGTTCGCGGAACGAAGCGGAGAGAACTTGTGTGAATTTCTGTGCTTTTGTTGCCAGGCAAGGGCTATACCGGGAACATAAGAGGGGACTTCTCTGGGGCTAGAGCCTTAGGATGATAACCTTGGAACCATGAATCCCGCCCCAAACAAACCCCAGCAGCCAAATCAAGCAGCAAATGGTGGGATATCTTGGGATGGAGAAGCCTGAATGACTCGAAGTTTCGGGTTAAAACGGAATGGTGCGTCCATCAGCGGCTGCAAGACTGTAGGACCGGGCCTTTAGGATCCAGCAGAGTCAGCACGACCTCATAGGGCATGATGGGATGAAGTTCAACATGAGAGTGTTCCATATCGAGACCAAACAGCTTGTCCACGAGTATGAGCGGTGCAGGATTAAATCCAGGGAGCGGGATGAAATAGTCCTATGGGAGTTGAGGACTAAGATGGACAGGATGCTCTTTGAGGCTTTACAGTGGTTTTCCGGTCAAGGCTGGGCAAGAACTTGTTATCTATGACAATGCGCTGACGGCATGAGGTTCAGGCTTCAGATTCCAAAATCTGGAGTGTTGCCTCTTGAGGCTGAGGGCTCAGCAGGTCCTACACCCGGAGGTCTTCCAAAATAATTCGAACAGGGCTTGATTGCTCTTTCTGTATCCCGCAGCTGAGCTTCTGGTCTTGTTTGGGCTCTTCATCAAATCTACCACGGTATGGATTAGTGAGCCACTGTTGTATCCCTATCTTTGTGTCTTTCCTGAGATGCTGGGAAATGTCTCGGCAGGTTTTGACTATCGCGACTTTGCACGAGTATGGAAAACCCCGACGGTGACCATGAGGGACCTTATTACGAGAGAAGGCCGTGGAGCAATAAATCGCTCACACCTCTCCCAGCCAAGCTACCGCTCGGACCAGTCGCTCCAAGTCTTTTCGTCCTGCTGCTGCGTCAGCGCAGCGCATCCTGGGTGCTTCAGTCGGATATTCGTCTTCGTAGGGGTGGGGAATAGGAAGGAAGGATTCTTGATCGCATCAATTTCAACACAAGCCCTATTCGCCCACGACTTCTATCCCTAAGAGCTCTAAGGCTGTGATCCCCAAACCCTTAGACCCAAGCTTTGCGCTTCGTGTCTTTCAGATATTTTTGATCAGCTTTGCCATTGTCGCACCAATTGAAACCAAAAAGGCTAGTCGCCTGAACCTTCAAGCATACAGACCTCCTAGCACACCTGCTGGGATTCCGAGTTCTATTTGGAGGGTACTGGGCGTTTGCAACGATGCAAACCCACCGTATTCCCTCTAGTCATTGTTCGGCTGTGATCCCTCAAAACTCAAAAGACCCGAGCCCCAACCCGCGCCAGCCGGGCTTCTCGGAGTACCACTTGATTTTGGGCTCCGTCCCTGGGATTGCAGAATTTCAAGGCTCAAGATTCATGATGCGAGTTCTGCATGGTTACAAATTTTAGGACTTGATGGGGTTGACAGCTTTTGGGTCCAGGAATGTCTGTGCATCCATGCTCTTCAAGCCTCCACGATGAGAGCAAACCACTAGACCCCGAATATACCTGACGAATCCTCACCAACATTACTTCTATTTTATCCTTACCACCCAAGATTTTCTACAGCCCATTAAGGGGAGGTAAGCGCTATATCTTCATTCCGAGGCCCTGGACTCTGAATCGAAAAATGGACATTGCAAATCGCTGCCTTCCCAAGAGCAGTTTAGTAGACCAGGGGTTCAAGAATGTATCCCCCATCGGAACACGCCACAAGAAGATATGCAAGAAGGAAAGCTCTCCAGAAAACCACCGCATACCAGCAGGAACAACGCAGCAAGAGAAGCCAGCTGAGCCCAGTCACCAGAGCTGCGCAATGTCATCTCTGCTTGTGCAGCGGCGAAGTAGTACGTGATCATTTCGCCGCCTGGCACGAAAGGTCAATGTGCTATGCTCCACTGACCAGCTGCTTGCAGTCAAGCCCCTGCATTCGTAATTTCACCAGCTTCAAGGCTTGTAAAAACTAGGAAGGTGTAGCCCGGCCTAAATTCAGCGGCAGATCCGGCTTGCCATCCTTTTGGCAAGGAAGGGGTTTGGGGACAGGCTTTGAGAGACTAGAGCGGTGTTGAGGATGTAAGGGCTGCATTTGTTTGGTATGGTGGAGTGCTGGCGTCAAAATCCCAGGATTGAGGCTTGAAGGTCGCTTGAAAATTGCCAACTCCTAAGGAATATGCTGAATATTTGCGCAGTGAAATGCCATGGTTGGCAGGCCAACCTGATGCAGATTGTCTGAGTTTTGCAGATTTTTTTGGGATTTAAGGCACTTGAGATAGGTCCATCCGGGAGTAGCGTTCTCAAGGAACGGATGACAGCATTTGGTTTGTGAGGTCTAGCCGACCTGATGACGCAGATGGTAGGAAACAGACTTAAAATCTTCCAGAACCATGCACACTACATCCAAGCCCTAAACTCAGCCATGCATTTCTGCAGCACTGAGTACCGCGACACGACGCCATGTGTAGTGTTTCGGGCATAGGGAAGAAATCATCAAACTTCCTTGACGAAGCCCAGTTGGTTGACGGTTTTTCTGCTGGCTTGATTCCCTAAATCCTGGAGCATCTTCAGCCTAAGCCGTGGCCGTCTGCGTCCACAACAGATTCGTGTCCTGGGCAGCCCGGTCTTCCTGCGGCCAAGAAGCTTTAAAGCGGCTGTCGTACCCAACTGTCAGATCCTCAGATCTCAACACACGTCTCGAGCAGCAGATTTCGACTGTACAAGCTTGCATCCATCGATGTTGTCCAGAAATATTGGTCCCGCCTTGCTATTCCGTAGAGCTTGAAGGCATAAAGCAAAGTGAAGGCAAATGCTACAGCACGGCCAGGTTATCAATTATCAACGGTCACACGCGTCGTCAAAGAAGGCCTTGAGAGGGGATAGTGGCTGAAACCCTCGTGGTTTGGCGACGTCTCAAAGGGTTGAAGCTCTCTTCCGGACCCTCATTATTTCCCGGGATTCCAACTGCAATCTGGCAAAAACACCGTACATCGAAGGAGGCAGGCTTGAGAAATTTGAGCCAAACCACGGCGTGGGAAATACAAACAATGCTGCCGCCAAGTGGCGCGGATGTCTGAGATAGCGAAATCCGCCACCTCAACCGGTGTGTGGGTACGTGTTTGTAAGGTTTAGGGGGAATTCAGGGGGATTGAGGGTTCAAGGCGAGGACTGAGAGTGGCCCTGGGGTTTGGAGTTTGTCGGGTCAACAAACAATAAGAAACATGAACCCTGAATCAAAAACTAAAAACCCCTAAACGGAGAATTTCAGTTTTGAACCCCAAGCCCCTACCCTGAGGCCCCTAGTTCCCAACCCCTAACAACCCTATCATAGACCCTTAGCTGTCCTTGGCCTGGCCTTCTGACAGTATTTGCCCTCGGGCCGCTGCGCGGCGAAGATCCGCCTCCTTTGGAAGAGGGTTCTGGGTTGAGGGAAGGCGTTTGCTGCAGAGGTCGCAGCATTTTTCAGGGTAAGGGCTCTGGGGTAGGCGTTTGGGGGTTAAGGGTTGTTTTTTGCTTTGGGTTTAGAAAGTCACCGCGGCTCCTAGAGCCGCATCGGCGGCTCAAGATGTAGAATGCGCGGGCTGGGAGGCTTTACGCGTCGGGGGATTTCCAGTCAGTTAGGCGGCCTTGGGATCCATGTTCCCCATTCGTTACTTACAAGTTGAACCTTGTTTGGGTACTGGTGGCCAAGTATCTTGCCTATACTTTGTGTTATAGAGAAAGGTTTCCAGTGAAAGCCTACCTAGGAACAGATCATCCCATTGATGATGATACTGTGATAAGATTGGAAGATTCTGACGAGACCCTAAACCACGCCCAGGCTCGTCAGTGCGGGGTCCGGCGACTTAACGTAGCTGTTCATGGACAGAAAGTTGCCGTATTCCTGGAAACTCGCAGAGCCACGGAAAAATTTGTCTTGCTGACCGATTGGAATACGTGCGGAGGCCTTGTAGAGGCGTTGCAAGTGCTGCTCGCAGCTCAGGCCCTCCTCTGCAGCAATTGCGTCTGAATCGGCGCTGAGCATTCGGAGCAGCAGCACCATCCTCTTCTTCAGCTGATTATGATTATCATCAGCAGGAGCAGCAGCAGTTGCAGCAGCATGCCGGGAGCGTCATCGGACTGGCTAGTATCGCTGTCATAACCACAGCCACGATTTACATTTGCTCAGCCTTTAGCCTGGAGCCTTTGACATTCACGTGCTGACGACGTTACGTTTTGAACCACCACCGCCGCCGCCGCCGCCGCCGCTGCCACCGAGGTCCGCCATTAGCTAAGCAAGAACAAATCAGAGTAGGATGCCAAGAATGGTTAAGGGTTCAAGGTTCTTGGCTTGGGGATAACGAGTTAGCCAAAAGACTTGGGCTGCATGAAGCTGAGTAATTAGACCCACAACATGAAATGATCGGGCGCTCGGTCCTCCCATCTTCCTCGCAGGGAACTCAAGTTACCTTCTTGGTTTGGAGTACTCAGTGAATACTCTTTGCTTGAAATGCATGCATCAGCTACACAAACAGACCCACTGCAAAGGGTAGCAACCACACCATTCACCTTGAATTCCTAAAAGCCACTGATAAAAGGCTTTTGAACACATGAAAGACTCTTACAACCTGCATCCAGCCATTTCTTACAAAGCCGTGGGTAACCGTCACCAAGCCCGAAGTTGAAAGGAAAAAGATGCCTCCTAACAGATGCCTCCTGGAGCTCTTTGGCCATGTCCACGAAGACCGATGCAGCTGCGATGCCATCCTCCATACAAACAGTCTTCAATGCTACGATGACAGAGATGACAAGGTGCACTGGGTCATTTTGCAAGACTCGGGTCCCCCTACCACCCCTCCGCAAGCGCCGAAGTGATGCGGTCCTGATGATGAGGAACCCGCCCCGCATGCTGATGCTGACACTGTTTTTGTGGACCTTTGCATGCAATGTAGGACCTAATGTAGGAGCCCTGGAACTAGGACATGCGGTTACAACAAAGGAGCCATGATGCCCCTTTGCCTAAAGCGGAGAAGCCTGGTTGCTGATGCAACCACTTGACCCCTGGTTCTGGGCATCCGGTGCTGATGACGCTGGCAGCTGCTACGGTTTGACTCTTCATTTTTGGGCCTTGGAGGATAGAGCACGGATGTGATTGATGCATCAGCATGATGCTGGCCATGCTCGCCACTTGGTCTGAACCTCCTGTTGAACTGCCGGAACCCTCACGCTGCTGGTGATTGCCCGAGTTCCGGATGGATGTCAGGATGCGCAGCAGTCGAGTATTCAAAATCCTGAAAGCGCCCCTGAAATTGTCCCCGGCCCGAGAAACTGTCGATTTGGGGGGGCCTTGTCTTTGACAATGTCGCCGATGCAAAAGCCAATAGCCTCTTCGTATGCGAAGATCACCTGAACATTGAATGAAAGGGCTGAGGATTGTGGCTAATTGGGTGACTTGTGGAGGTTGCGAAGCCGAACGTGTACTTCTACCACCCAGTTCGGTGTGGACTCTTAAAACCATGGCGTGGAGGGTGCTAGTCAGCTGAAACAGGAAGGGTGTTGAGGCAGGCAGGTTGATCCAGCACAGTTTTGGGGGCAAGGACTCGCCAACCTCTCTAAGCCTCAAAATCCTCGCACCCTGCAAACCCTGTGCCGAACAACCACAAAGAAAACGCCTCCAAAGACTGTACCTCAAACATCTCTACACGGTAAAACGAATCCAAAGATTTTAAGACACTCCCAAGTCAATCCCCCCAACACCCCAGGCCTCAAAACCCTCGGCACGGAGGTCCGCAGAGCGTGAGCCCATCCTTTGCCGATCAGAATCCAGAAAGAAACAGCATGTCCAGGGTTGGAAGGTTTTCTGGTGTAGGGTTTACATTATTTTGGGGCCAGCCGGTGGCGGAGTTCAATGGTGCAGGCGTCAAGGTTGAAGAGCTGAGAGTTTTGAGTTCCAAGTGCGAGGTTGAAGGGAATCGGGCTTCTGCGCTTCTTCGGCGCTTCCCTGGATCGTTTAGTTAGGATGGAGGCATGCTTCAAGCTATATATGGCATCCACGCCTCTGCGTCTTGTGTACAGCATGCTTGCAACCGTATCATGTTTGCGGCTTGAGGTTCCTGATCGTTCTACAAAAGGTCGCCAAGCCCAGACCCATGCCGCGAAAGCGCTACCTCCCGGTTGGCCTGTGTCGGTATGTGCCTGCATCTCTGCGCAGTACTCAAGCTTGTTACAGCTTCCCTTCTAGTGCCGCCACCAAGTAACTCATTAATAGCTACCCTATGGACCTCCAAGTACTCAGGCATTCCGCTGAGTCACCACTTGAAACCGGTGAGCGTCTCCACGAAGCGGAAGCCTTCCCTTGCTGCGAGCGTCTGCCTCGACACCGTTGAGCGAGCAGTGTAGCAGGATGCATGCAAAGGTTATACCATTATACCCGGGGTATGAGAATGAGTCAGCGAGCAGGGCGGATCCTCACGGCCTCGGCCCCAAAACAACCACAACGCGGTGGAATGGCTTGGCCACCAGAACCATGGTTGCGGTTTTAGGGTTCGGGGCTTGATGCTGTTTGAAAGAGCCCGCTTGTAAAACACGATTTGTAGACGACGCACATTCCGATTCCCAAGCATTCTTGTCAGGCTTCGCTGTAGCTTGCCAGATCGAGATGCAGAAACTTTGAAGACACTGCGCTGGCAACCATGCCTGGGATGGATCAAGCGTCTGGAGTTGAGGCTTCTGAATGCCAAGTCAATCAGCCAGAAAATCCGACGTAGCGGGGTTCGCTGTCAAAACTGCGCTTGATATGTTTTGCCACTAGAAATACATACCATGTACCTCTCCACTGACACCTACCCAAGTCTCAAACTCGGCGCATGGAAGCCTGTGAAATGCCAAGATGCAGACTTTGCTTGCATCTTTACCTGGATTCCGCTTGCGCCAGCACCTCCACCTGATTTTGTTCCGTCTTGAAAGTTCATGATTTTTTGTCATGAACCTTGCACAATGCACATGTCTAGCATACTTTGCTCAACTTGAAAAAGCCTTGGGCTGAGCTCTAGGTTCGGGCCGTGGAACCGGAATTACTTCCCGTGAGTAATCTTACTGGGGGTTAGTAGGGAATAAGGGAATATAATCCCTGTATAACCCCTATATAATATATTCCCTTATTCCCTACTAACCCCCAGTAAGGAATGCGAATTCCCACGAGTAATGTAGCTGAGCTGCGTCCAATGGCCCAAGAGGGTCCCGAGCTCATTGCCTTGTAGAGAAGGTTCCAGGAAAAGAAGTGATTCAGGGTTCACGGGGCATGTGACCCAAGGTTCCAGCGTAAGGTAAAATGAGGCAGAGACAAGCACTCAACCTCAAAGAACCTGACCCTTCATCTCACCAGGGCTACAGCTCACAACTCTGAACCACAAACCTAAAACCCATCGCGAGACAAGCAGCCTGTGAAGACCTTCCAGTCCCCCTGGAGGGTGGGACACTTTGGAATGCTTGATCAGGATTACTCAGGTATGTCTCCGACCTAGCTAGAGGCTAGACGGGGATGCCCACCTCAAAGGCGGTGTCCCAATGAGTCTGACTGCCAGCGAGCAGCTGCTGTAGGATAAAAACCCACGGGGGGATGAGCACCTGTGTGTGTGTGTCTATATACATAGTGTGTGTAATTACCCTGTCACAAGCCTTTGTGGGCCGCGTGAGGCAGGCAGATAAGCCCGATGGTCAAACTCTAATCGGGAAGCCCTTGAATTCTGGAAGGCTTCATCGGAAATTGCACGGCCTGTATCACCATACGCTTTCAACCCTGAAGTCCATTGCGAGGTCAATATGTGATTACGGCACGTGGTCACGTGGTGCTTCAAATTCCTACATGGGCTTTCTGCTATCGGTCCTGGTCGTTTTGCTCGGCAACAGCCAGGCGGTCCGCATCCGGGTCGTTGGCAAGGACCTCCGTCAGCGTGTGGGTTTTCTTTTTGCTAGAGTTTAGAGCTTCAACCCTTTCGGTTCACACCCAGCATCCAAAGGATTGACCCAAGTCGATTGCTGGGACAGCTTCTGTGTGGCCGGGACTCTACCACTTCACTCTAAAATACCACTTGTTACAGTAAAGACTGCTGACCCAAGAATCTAGACTAGAGACATCTTCCTGACTGAGCACCGGAAAATCTTGCATAGCCAAACCCTGCACCCCCACCCCTGTTTCCGCAAAAACTTGGAATGGAGAAAAAGGGATCCCACTTCCTCGTGTTGCTCTAAGGGGCTGTGCATGTTGGGCTCCCTGCCTGTAGTGCCTGTACCACACGTTAACGCCCTAAAGCACGCACTTCACATCAAAATAAGGCTTGCTGCTGACTGGGCGAAGCCACACCATGGACCTTCAGCCAGAATCAAAATCTGAGACCTCACGCTGAAAAATGGACCAATGCCATCGTCTACGGCCTAGGTACATGCAGTGTGCTCATAGCCGCGCACCACAGAGTTTCAGAAGATATTGAAATAAATCCCGGAATCAAATGATGGCTTTCAAGGGGCTGTCTTTCTGCATCGTCATGTTTCTGCAAAATACCGGAACAGTTGAACCAGGGTTGCCGGTCACAATCTCTGGGGGTCCTGACAGTAAGACTAGCTAACAAGTCAGAGAGACTCCAATAAGGCAGGTCTCATGCCTGGCCTTTTTACCCTGAGCCCTAAGCAGTAAGATGTTGCAATGTTTGGGCCCTTCTTGTGGAAATCCTCAAGTAAACAGCCAGTCCGTCCGCTGGTAGAAATACTGCAGGGAACGGTGGTCCGGATACTGGCCTGAGGGGGGATCAATCCTAAATCTCACCCCGCAAACCCTGTACCTGAACAACCTATACGCCTTGCACACCCCAAAGACAACTGGCTGCTTCCGCTTTCTGAGAGTGTGGCTAACTTGCAGCCACTGCGCTGGGCTTCCTGCGAGGTAGGGCTGGCTATGTAGCAGATGGTTTCGAACAGAGGGTTTCAAATCGGTCTCCTAGTCAGAAGTCTCAAGTTAGCTTAGACCCTATTGGAAGCATTGTACGTTTTTGAATGGTTCAGTCATGCTATGCGTTTGGACTAGGGGCCTTGTTGCGCATACCGTGTTTGCTTCGTGAAGATGGCTCGTCCCTCGCAGTCTGCAAGGATCCAAAGACAGACTCACCAGACAAATGCAGCGAATCCAAGGAAGAGATTAACGTTTTCGGCGACGCTGGCATCTGTTGAATCTCAGAGGGTAAGGCTGCCTAGTCCTGCAATTTGAACCTTGCCCGCCTCCCGTGGTCAGCAAGAAAGAACGGCGCAAACCCCAAGGAAAGTCCCAAGGAAGCCTCGATGCACCAGCAAGCCTCAAGTGCTTACCGGTAAGTAGGTCATGGTCAGAATACGCTTATTATGTTGTAGCAGGTTCCTGCCACAACTTCATCCATTTGCCATCCCAGTACCGTCGATGCTACCACGAGTAGAAGAGAGCCAAGATAAGTATTCCCAAGCCCGTCTCGCCTCGAACGCCAACTTCAAAGCCCCCTGGCCTTCCTGCATCATGGTCATTGTATTTGCTGAGATTCTCAGGGAAGCTCCGGGAACCCCCTGCTGCCGGTTCGGGACTCGAAGACGTTACAATCTGCGAGCTTAACCCTTGAACCTTTTCAGGATGGAGCATTGGATACAGAAAGCTTTCTGTTACAGCAAAATTGTAATTTGGTCAGTGATGAGGCGTGAAATCTAGATGCCGGGACGCTCATGCAGCGCATGCTGCCGGATCCTGCTTGAAATACGGCAAGGGGTCAGGGCGCAGGGTGCGCACTTGAAGGTTAACTAGGAGTCTAGTCTCAAGTCGATACCCCGCGAGAAATCGCATCAGACTCGCATCAGTACACCAACATTAGGACATTAGGATATGCAGCGCCAGCACTTTCAGCTCCTGATGCGGAACCGTTTTGCATTTACTTCTGCTGCGTACGCAGGCAGTAATTTGGACTCAAGAGTTTTCTGTCACGTTAAACACGTTTCCTGGGCTCAAAGAACTTTGGCGAGTTCGCACTGCAACGACCAACTGCGCTACAAGTAGCACCTCTAGGAGCCAGATTGCTAGGGGACCACTTCTTCAACTTTCGCAGTGAACTGCATTGGCAATCACAATCATAGTTCGATTTCGGCGGCTCTTGCGGGGGCTTGAACATTGGAGGCCAAAAGATCCGAGGTCAGTGAGCCTTGCATGGCTTCTACGATGGGTGCCATCGGAAAAGCGTGTCAGTGCTAAAGCAAGTTGTCAAGCCGAACCCATGTGGCTTTGAAGTTGCGAATGCAGAGTTTTAAGGGTTCCCATGAACACTGGTCCCAAACGATCCGTGGCATTCTTTCAGCCCCTGGTGGTCTCACAGCCAAGGAACTATTAAACAGCTCCCTTTTTTAATCTGAGAAAACCTCACTGCAAAACCCCAACGCTGGACCTGTGTAAGGGATCCTAGGGGGCTCTGATAGGGGAATTGCCCAAAGCAATGCGCAGTGTCCTAGACCTTAAATCCAGCATCCTGCAAAACAATGTTCACGGCCAACAGAAAATCTATATGCAACAGAAAATCTATATGCGACTCCTAGAGATCCACATACCCAGTGATCACATATTCCAAATCCTAGCCTGTGAGCAATTCCTTAGACATCTCAATCATGTCTTGCACTCTTGGAGAGATCCGCCCGAAAGGGACCTCGGGGTTCGGGAATGCCACCGTGGGGAACGTTGGATCAGGCGTGCATTGCGCCTAGACAATTTGAAGGCGCAGAGTGAAGGCGCAGAGGGTAGGGCTTTAGG